GCACTGAAAATACAAGTACAGGACAGGATACAGGTGAAAAATTAGATTATCGCATTAAATTGACAAATAATATTAAGGAATTATGAAAATTTCAGAATTTATGAAGAATACACATTAAATAAGAGTAAAAATAAAATATACAAAAAAGCAAGTAAAAAAATGGTTACTGGAAATTAGAAATTGCAAAAGAATAGTAGATAAGCGATAAGATTAGACATGAAAATGTAGTTAGAAATTTGAATAGACACACGAAAAAGTGACATAATGAGCCTAATAAAAGAAAGGAAAAATCAAAACATAAAACCTATCTACATACGTACATACCCAAACCTACACGCCTACCTACATATCAGCTTACAAATTCTAATCACCGAACAATCGACTAATGCAGATACATGCATTCGTACATAACAAACAAGCCATCTGACAGCATTTATAGATTCGACTAGACCTCCCTAAGACCTAAAATATTCCAATTAATTTCATTGGGTGGAAGTGGTACTCAATGGGAAAATTTTAACAAAATATTACAAAAATACATTTAACAGGCAAAGCGAAAAGCAAAAAACAAGTATGCCAATATTATGACCAGAAAAAATTCTCGATAAATTCGTCTTTCACACCCACCATGCCGTTTGTGCCAGTCTGTGTCGACAAGCCATCTCGGTGTTCATTCACAATTGATGGCAATCCAGCTGTGGAGTTGCCTGGTGGAATCAATGCTTGCTGTCGAGCGGCCGCCACACCTAGTTTGGGTTGACCTCCGCTCCCAGAAATATTGGATGATCCAGTAGTGGGAATGGCTAGGACGGGGGAAGAAGAGGAAACCCCAGTTGTGATTGGAATAGATTGTGGATAATGATGTGCAGTGGCAGGAGTAACCGGGCCAGAGGAAGCAGGAGTCATTTGTGTCGCCGTCGCCTTCGACGATGGAACAAAAGATTCGGCAGGAGGTGCAGAAGGGTTGGCAGCTGTCATTTGGCGAGCAGCTGCCATTTGGCGAACAGCTGCAGCGAGAGGTGGGCGCTCTCGACCCTTAAACAATAATATAAATAAAAAAGACATGCATTTACAATATAAGAGGAGAGAAATGCAAAAACGGAATATGTATAATAATTCAAATAAAATGATAAAAGGTGAAACAATTTTTCTGTGAAAGAATTTTATTACAAGGAAGCAAATATTTAAGGTTATATCCTATTATAATCGCAGTATTTTTTTCTCAAAATAAAGTACCAAGGTATGAAGACCAAAATGGTGTTCTTTAGTATTATTGATATCTATTTTCGTTGTATATAACTTGTCTAACCTTGTTTTCGCAAATTGGCAATATTGACAGGAAGACCTAGAGAAATGCACGGTCAAAAATTGCGACAGTTAGAAAGAAAATTACAATACCATTGTATTGCTCGGGAGTTTGGCGCATAAAATTCGGCAACTATGATCGGATCAAACAAGAATAAAAATCGGTCTACAAATCAAGAAACACCAAAGACTACAGAAATATGGATATGGATATATTCGAAATAATTGAACACACTGCACAGACAGGACACGAAATCGACAGAATTGCTGGTCGTATATGTGAAAATACAAAAAATCGCAAGATATGTAAAACCATAGATATCCTGACTGAAACAATCTAATTAAGATAATAAGACTTGAGAAAGGCGGAATTAGTGAAAACTTTGCATATTGCCTAAGCAAACTCTGAAGAGATCAGGGAACAGCAAGATCAGCAAAAAGAGGACGACTAGATGTATGAAATATTTTCAATTTGATGAAAACAAATACGAGACCACAAAGTAGGAATCGAAAACCATGAAGAGACGTATATAGTGAGCCTAATCAAATTTGAACCACTATAATATTTGGGATATGGCGAGGTCGAAACTACAATCCACCCTGGATGAGAACAACTTTTAGAAAAGTAAGGCTCAATGGAAGCGTCAGCTCTACTCGTACCATAATGGGAAAATTCTACTACCAGTCCTTCATCACGTTAAGCGAAATAGGGTGAATACATTTCATTTTACTGATTCACTGGTAGTCTCGAAACTCTACTTACATATGAAAAATTAATTAATAGACTCAAGGATAGAGCGGGTGCTGAGCTGCCTGCTAAAAGGAGGCGACTCAACTAGCCTTTGGTTGTCTTGGTTCTAATCATAGTCACTCCTCTGTGCTTTTCACTGTCTTTCTCGCATAAATACCGAAAACAAAATGGCTCGTCAGCATAACCAGACGTGTCTTACCTTGCGTAATCGGAGTAATGGTTATAACATATGTGTAGAAAGGGGAAGAGAGTAATCATTAAACCTAAATGGCCTAAAGCAGATATGACTTCTGCTGTTCTAATTACTTTGAGACATTATTGCTGGTTTCGTGCATAAGTTAACACAAACAGGCGCATACACAAACAGAGAAAGACACACTCACAGGCTTCGAGGCTGAAATATAACTGTAACTAACTAAATCACTTTATAACTCATA